TAGGGAAAAAAAACCCCAAACCAACAAGAGACAAAGTCAGGTCCCAGATAATTTCCTCTGAATTCCCAGAGTCAGTCTTCTCTGCTCCCACTCCTAACACATTCCCATGGGGTCAGGTCAGAGACTGGCACCAGCCTGGCTGTAGCAACCCCCACATGGCTACAGCACGGGCAGGGCTTTAGGATACAGGCGCAGAGGCAGTGGGGTCCACCGTGGGGAGGTGGAAGTGAGCAGGAGCTGGGAGAGACTGCAAATGCTGGATTTGTTTAGAAAGGGATGAGGTCAGAAGGGTAGAAAATAACATATCCTCTAGAGAGCGAGCAGTGCGGTTTTGCAATCTCAGATCTGACAGGGATCCATATTTAAAATAGGGGGAAAAAAAAAAGCTGTTATTAAACAACCTCCTGTTAACCCCTGGAGGTCATGGTAACTAAATACAGTTGAAGCCAAGTTTCTAAAGATTTTCTACAGAAATCCACTTGAATAATGAGAATATTCACAGCTACTTTAGCTGGGAAAAAGAAGATTAGAAACCTTGCTGCACTGGGGCACAGGCTAACCCCATAGCAGAGAAGCAGTGTCCTCCACCAATCTGCCTTCTAGGGCTTCTCACGCAGAAGCATCAGGTGGTATTTGCCCCGTGGTCTGGTGCAGGAGAGCCACCTCGCTCCCCTTGCTGGCTGGGGAGAGGGCTGTGCTTGCACCACAGACGCCCCCACCATCACTGGAGTGAAGCAACTTACCCTTAGGTGACTGTGCAGAGCAGACAGGCAGAGCAGCAACAGACCCCAGAGGAACACCATATTTCTGGAACAGAAGGACCAGCTGAGAGAGAAGTTATTTCCAGCTGCCTGGCAGCAGCAAGCGGAGCCTATTCAGGTCTACAGGGAGAAAATTATCAACCTGGCCAAACAGGTTGGCACAGGAGCTTGCAGAAAGCAACAGGGAGATGAACAATGCTGCAAGGAAACAACACGAGACTCCTGCGTCCAATGCCAAGGCAGCGAAATCAGAGAGCACCAGGGACCCACACCAGAGCAGAGCTGTAACCACAGCCAGGCTCCTGCATGATGCTCTCCTGCTTGGATCCTGCGTTTCTGACCCCATCACCCTCATTCCTCTGGATTGCAAGTGGTATGTCCCTAATCAGTCCTGCACACACTGTGCCTCTGGAAGAAAAGTCTCTGCTCCTTTCCTGTGCAAACCACCAAAGTGTGGGCACAGCACCCTCAGCCGTACCCTAGGCTCTTGGGAGAAGGGATACTAACCTGCCTCAGAGGGGCTGCAGGCACTCAGCAAGCGCTGTCTGGGAGGGACTTTGCAGGTACAAAATGCAATACCAGAGCAGTTTCTCAGCAGTATGTCCTGGAATAGAGTCCTCCCCTTCCCAGCACTCGCCTTCCCCCTTTGCTGGCAAACCCAGCCTCTCCCACCCCCGCATTCCAGTATGGGACAGTGGGAGCAGGGCTTCCATGGATGAAACCCCACCCTGGCCACCGCTTCACCCAGCCACTTTTCCCTTTCAAACAGAAATAGTATCTTCTTTACGTAAAGCCTCCATGCCAAAACCCAGCCGTTGGCACAGCTGCCATACACTTAATTCCTGGGGCTGCTTTCCACTCTCCGAGCAGTCCTTGCTTTCACCCAAAACTGCTGGCCTGTGACCCCAGTTGCCAAGTAGAAGAAGCAAAACTTGAGGCCATTTCATTCCCCCTCCTCCCTCACCCCAAATCCTGCAGTCACATATAACCCTGAATACCCCTTTCCTCCCTGGTGGTGCCCATCTTTTAACCCTCTGCCAAATTCACTCCCCTTTCCCAGAGAGACACTATTGCTTATTGGAGGATCCCCCATTTACTGTCAAATCCTCATTTCTTTGCCCCTTACCTGAGGTTGTTCACGTCCACGTTGGAGCCGGCACCTGCTTTAGCCCGGCCGATAGCTCTGTGCGGGGCAAAACGCAGCCTCTTGTCCAGCCCACCCCGCCTACCCGCCGGCAGCGACCTTCGGCACCACCCCCTATTTGAGAATTTGGCAGGCAAATATTGACCTACGGCATCCGGTTAAACATTTGTTTCGGGGATAAGAGTGAATTTGTCGTGCATTTGGAGATGGAGAGACGCTTTGGGCTGCTGTACCCTCAAGACAATGTTAACACCGAGTTCACCAGCTCCAAAACTCCCATCAGCAGAAGTAACATGCAAAGTCAGTTGTCCCTAGTAGTGGCTCTGCTTTCCATATACTCCCTGTGCTGGGAACACGCTCTTTTATTCATAACCTTTAGTGAAAACATAGGGCTTGGTATTTACTGCCACAGGGCGCACTCTGTTTATGGAATTTTCTTTGCAGAAAACCCGATGTTTACTCCCTGTATCCCAGCTGCTTCTGCTGCAGCAAGCACGAGGCACTGGTTTTAACAGATGGCTGGTGCCCAAGGCCCCGTGGCTGCGTACCCGAGCAGGAGGCAGCGATGCTTAGGCTGGGCTGAGCCAAGAGCAGCTGGTACCTCCCCTGGGGCACAGCACGCACCAGAGCCCTGCCGGAGGAGTTGGCGCCGGTGCCGGGCTCCACGGCATGCACGCACCGCTGTGACATGGAGGAAGAGTCTCAGGGACGGGCAGAACTCCAGCGGTCCTGTCCTGTGCGGTTTTGTGCCTTACGCAGAAGCAATAGTGATCCTTCCCGGCTCTGACCATGTCCTCAGTGCGAGAGGAGTCACTAAGGAGCAGTGGGGAACACTAACGGGATCGCAGCGCTTGCAGCCATCCATTCCTTGGAGTGGCTCTTGGTTCCCAAACTCACCCCAGATGCTGGGAAGGAGTGGAAAGGAGACAGGTCTGAGCTCTGCAACCAGAAACTACTTTGAGACATGCCACTGCAACATGGGGAGCTACTTCCCCTTGGAAAGCAGATCCAGGTCCCTGTGCAGCAGTTCTACCTGACATCCAGGGCATCTTCACAGCATCCCCCCTCCAGCTCACCCAGGAACACAAGAGGTGCTCGAATGCAGAGCTTTAGCTTTGGCTGCCAGAGCAGGAGAGCTGCAGCCAGCACACCCACCCCTGCACCGCACTGCACCTGGGCCCCTCCAGCACAGAGCTTCCCCACACACCCATTCTCTGCGTCTCTTTCAAAGAGTTTATTAGAAGTAAATATTTACATCTATTGCAAATGGTTAATAGGCAACACGGGACTGAGAGCTCTCCTTGAGTAGGGAAGGATAGCAAGGGCCAACTGCTCACCTCCCGGCCCTCCCTGGAAGCGGAGGACAGCCTTCCCAACTGCAGGTGGCTCAGATTGAACCGGCAGCTGGATGAAAGCCCTTTCCCCTCGCAGGACAACCCACAGCAGGCTCCTCCTCTGCCCAAGATAAGAGCTTCCCACTCCCCCGATACTGGCTCTGACGAGGCTGAAGGATGGATGGGAAAAGGGCTGCAATGGCAGTGAGGCAACTGCTCCTACTGCTGGGTCAAACAGCACTCTCCTCACCTTTGGTGTGGGAACAGGCGGTGCTGTCCCAAAGGGAAGGTCAGAAGGAGACCATGCTGGATCATGCCTCCTGGCTCTCACCCTACAAGGGCAGGAGGGGATAAAACCGAGCACCTTTTTGCTGTCCTGTCTTCCCCAGGAGTCTGACCAGCACAAAGGAGAGGATTAGAAGGATGATTTCCTGAGAAACGCTGCCAGTGCGTGGCACACAGGGCATTTCTCACCCCCTAATCACAGGATGCAGTGCTGCTGGGGCAGGAACCAACAACAGTCCATCCCTATCCTACTGCTCCAGAAGCCAAAATCCCTATGGAAGCATCTAGCTCTGGCCTCCCTAGAGGGTCACGTTCCCATCCCAAACTGTCCCTCTGCAGCAGTCCATTCCTAAATGAACTGGCAGAGCAGATGGGGTTTGTACCTTGGCTGACTTCCATTCCAGCCTTTGCCCTGGAGCCAGTAAGGCAGCAGAAGTGCTCTAGTTAACCTCTCCTCCTCCCATACAGGCTCTAACTCAGCCGGCAGAACCTAAAGTTAATAGAGTACATCCTCTGGGCTTTGAAAGACCACAGGAGGAGGAGATGCCCAGCACCATGCAGCTCCGAAGGCGGCAGTTCCCAGGCCCAGCTTATGCTATCCTAGTAAGACTGTTCAGTGGTTCAGGAGTGTAAGTGAAGGGCAAGTGCAGATGGCAGTAGCTATACCGTTGTGTTCTTCTCAAGGAGCACCTCTTACCCCTTAACTGAAGGAGAGAGGATACCTGTGGTCCATATCACTCTGGAGGGCAGCTCACAGTCCCCTGGGGATCAGGCACACATGGTACGGAAAGCTCCAGGCCTCTCTGCAGGGGTGACAGTGACCTACAATGCCCAGTATTTCTCCCAGCAGCAGCAGAGGTTTCTCAGTTATGGCTTTTTTCTTTTTAAAGATACAGAAAGAGGTTAGAGATGATTTACCGAGTGCTCACTAACAAGTACACCTCCCCCCTGCATCCTCTGTTCAGAAACATCTAACTGCCTCCTCCGTAAGCGACGCTGCTGGCTTTCAGCTCTACCACCAGCACTGCGGGACAGCCACAAGCTCCTGGGCCGGGGGTCACTACGCCAGGAGGCGTATGACGCCGTTGTCCGAGCCCAGCAGGAGATGGCATTTCATGGGCAGCACCGCCAGGCTGGTCAGCGTACCCCGAAAATTCTCCGAGCTCAGCTTGGTCGTGCTGATGGGCAGGGCTGAGGACTCCAGCATGGAGTAGACGCCAATCTTGTTGGCCACAGTGCCAGTGACCACTTCGTTGCCGTAGAGGTCAAATGCGTGGATGGGTTCAGATGCAGATTTGTAGTGGTGCAAAGGTTTCTGCTCCAGTTCCTTCCAGACAGTCAGGGAATGATCCGAAGAGGAGCTGATTAGCACATTGCCCTCTGTAGCCTGCAGGAGAGGAAAGGCCAGTGAACCAACGCTGCTGCAGTACAAACTCCCAATCTCATCCTGCAAATGAGATTAGCAGGTAGCTGCCAATAATCCAACAGCCACAGTGCAATCCCTTGGGACGGTCCCAGCCATTTCCAAGCAACTGATGGTACTGAGCAGTATTAACAAGGCATCCAGGTGGACACTGCAAGCTACAGGACTCTCTGGTAGCTGGCAACCTCCTCTAGTGCTATCCTCCGAGAGATGGGCTGGGCCTCTTCTCAACAACATCCCGATACCCAACACAACTAATTCATCATCTGTTACTACCACAGTGGGTAAAGAGATTATCATGTGGTCTCCCTCTCCATTAAACCATCTGCCAAATTCTTTTCCTTCTCAGGAAAAGGAATTGGGAGGCTCTCTCACAGTAGAAAATACTGCTGAGGGTAGGAGAAGCCTGCAGCTGCCTATTAGCAGAGCTAGTGAGAGGGTAAACAACCCACATCGCTGAACTTTGTTTAACCTGCATTTGGGTCGAGGACACGGGAGCCCCAGCGCCGCTCCCTGAGGGTGGGTAAATATGGATAAGAGTTATTCATTAGAGCAATGCTCTCCCAGGGGGGCTGAGAGCCCTGCGGAGAAAGCAACACATTTGCTTCTTCACAGGAAGCGTGGCTCCTCCCTGCCTCTGCTGCAGACCTGCTTGGCAGGGACTGACACCTGGGAGGGCTGATCTCTGTTCAGCACAGGTTGGACCAAGAACAGCGGCCCACAGCACTAACCATGGGGCAGGAGAGCTTGAGCAGCCTCTTAGGGACACAGCAAGGAATGGAGGAATGCCCAGAGGATGGAGCAGACAAGCCCTGCCAAGCAGCACATACCAGAAGATGCTCCACGCAACCTCAGAGGATCGATGAGGCCCACAAAGCAGCCCCCCACCCTGATCCCAGCTGAACCTCTCACCTTGATCTGCAGGATGTCTCCCTCATGGGCAGGCCACCCCCGCATGATGAGTCCTGTCCTGGTGTCCAGCAGCACAATGAAACCAGAGGAGAAGCCAGCCATAACGCTGCGCCCATTAGGACTGACAGCCAAGCAGCGGATGAGCCCAGCGCTCACCCCACTGGCCAGGCGAAACTCGTGCTGCAAGAGAGAGAGTCCATCTGCTGTGGGACGAAGATCAGGGGATCCAGCATTTAGGGGACAAGAGACCCTGGTCCAGCTGGCTTTCACAGAGTCATTGCAGCTGGCTTTGGGCCAGCCGTGATCCCATCATTAAGCACACAGATGGAGGAAGGGGCTCGCAGAGCGCCAGACTCCCTACCTGTAGTCCTGGCTTCCTGTGGTCGATGAACCGCAGCACAGAGTCTGCGCTGGCCACAGAGATGCTGTGATAGGGAGGCGGCATGGTGGTCACAGCTGTGATGGGGACTTTGCTGTCTAATTCATCAAAAGTCCGGAGAAGTTTGCCTGCGAAAACACGACGGAGAAGTTACAGCAGTAGATGTACAGAGAAGGTACACAGCAAATCTCCAGTTCTGCACTGTTTTCCAACAGGAGCCATCAAAATTCAGTATGGCCCCTCTGTCTTTAAGGACTGGACCAGTTCACTCCAGCCAGCCCTCACCCTTTCCCTCCTTACCTGTGAACTGGTCCCAGATGTGTACGGTCCCATCACAGCTCACCACGTGCTGAGATGCCTCCAGCTGGCTCACGTAGAAAACTGACTTCTTGTGCTCGGCGTACGTGAAGCGCGGCGGCACCTCACTGGTGCCATCCCCATAGTTGTACAAGGGCCAAAGGCGGACAGTTTTGTCCTTGCTGCCACTAAGAAAGAAGTCCTCGCTGCTGAGCGGTGCCACGCACTTGATGGCCCCTGAATGCCCTGAGAAACTCTGCAGCTTGATCTGGTGGAAGTGGAAGCGGGGGTCGTGTTGGCTCACCCCAATCTCATACTGCCAGTAGGCCAGCCAGTTCCCACAGAGCATGTGGGTGCTGCGAGGAAGGTCATGCTTCAGGGCATTCTCCTCACTGGATGAGCTGGGAATAAAGCCATCAGTGCCAGCACTGAGGCAAAGTAAGCCAAGACCCTCGCGCTGTGTGTCCACAGGCACCTGGATGCGGTTCCCTACCAGCACGCTCCCAAAAGTACCAGAGTGACTGTCCTCCTGGTGGCTAGAGAAGGACTCGGTCCCTCGCGTATCTTGGTCCGGGCCCACGGCACTCGGTGTTTGCTCCAGGCTAACCACCTGCAGGCTCTTTGGGTTCACGTTCTCCAGGTAGATGCCGGCCAGCTTCTCAACCAGCGAGTGGTTGGGCACAACCGTCCGGATAACGTCACCTGAAGAGAGAGAATGTGGCTCCAAGGGAAGGAATTTCCCCATCGTCATCCACCACCACCAGAACAAGGGTCAGCACAGGGCCGTGAACACAATGTCCCCCACACGCCACTCACGCTGCTCCCAGCCAAAGCAGCCTGAAGCCCAGTGGGCTCCGTACCCAGCAAGCAGACCAAGCCACAGTGTAGAAGCTGTGGGTTTCTCCCAGCAGCCCTACGCCCTCTGACTTCTCCCGAGTTCACATCCAGCCCGCGTGCGCAGAGCTCTCTCACAAATCCCAGGAGATGGTGGCCAAGCTGTACCTAGCAAGCAAGAGAAGGGGATGTAGGTGATGTAGGCCATCTCAGGGTTAAACACCTTCTGTAACTCCATCAGCATGGCCGGATCCAGGGCCAGCAGCCTCCCATCCCAGAGAGGCACCTCCATCACCGGCACCTCACAGCTGCTCAGTGACTCTGCCGTCAACCCCTGGACAAGGGAAAACAGGAAGATACCCAAGATCAGATGCTCTCACCACATAATTACACAAACACAGCCTGGGATGGACGCTGCTGACACCAGTACTGGTGTATGCAGGTATGCCCACCACATTCCTGCGGCTGGGTACTGGGGGATAGCAGGAGGACCTCTCCCACGTCACTGACCTGGTCTTGCAGCTCCTGCAGCAGTGAGAATGCCCCAAAGAAGTTTCTCACTGTGTCACTCAAATGCTGCTGCACCATCTCCTGCCCGATCCGCAGGCAGATCAAGGCAATTAGGCTGATTGTCTTAACGCACAGGACAATACGGGCCTGGGCACCACTGGGGAAACTGAAGAGGATATCCATTACCAGCTTGCCCTTCACATATCCCGTTTCCCCTCCTCTGCTTCATGCTTCCTGCCTTGTCTGTGTTACCAGAAGGTCTTGAGCAGCACAAGCTCTACGTGCACGCTGTGTACCAGTGCAAGGAGGTGCACATCAGGGCAGGAGCAGCCCCACAATTTCAGGAGCCTTAAGGCCCTCACAGAACCATTTCCAGCTCCCCGCTTTTGAGGTGCTGATCCTGGCTGAAGGCACGGCAGAGTGCAGTGCTTACCCGACGGCCGGCGAAGTGAGGAAGCCCAGCACCGGGAGCAGCACCTCCTGGCTGATCTTGGGGAGAATGTCCATGAGCGTGGTGTCCGAGAGACATACCACGATCTTCTGAGTCAGCATCACAGCAGCCAGGAGCCCTGCCTCCTTCCGACTGTTCAGCCGGCCACCACCCGACCCGCCGCTGGGCGCAACCTGCAAAAGGAGTCCTTCAGTGCCAGGGCCACCATCTCCCCAGCAGGACACATCAAGGGTGATCCCAGGATCACCCAAGCTCAGCCTCAAAACCCGGCACGGTAGTGCTGGTCCCAGCTCCTGGGAGAGGAACCTGAGCACTGAGTCTCAAGAGCAACTCGTGTCTTGCACTCAAGGCATGAGCCTGAAAACTGACAGACAGCTGTCAGCACAAGAGATGAGCCCGGAGAGAATGGGACACGACATCCCCAAGCTCGCAGGCATCCTCTGGAGGACACGTCCCTGTGGGATGCTCCCACACAGCTGGGAAACTCAGCGGGGAGAGAGACAACCCCAGACTGGCCTACAGCATCACCAGCCTGGATGCTGCAGAGCACCGTTTGCCAGCTCAGGCAGAGGCAAAACCTATTACGTACACACAACTTAAAGCAAGAATCAGTGTCTTCACCCCATGTGACATTGAGCCGGGATGCACAGACTGCAGAGGAACAGTCCTTGCATGAAATATCCAAGCACAAATTATGGGCAAACCTGCTGCTGACTTCGAGAAATCCAGCTGTTAATAACTTCATTAAGCAGAAGAGCACATCCTTTTCTGCTGACAACGTACCGATGCTGGTTACGGCAATGCCAAAGAGTTAACAACATCAGCAGCAACAGGAAAAGATTTCTTTCTAGATTGTCCTATTTCCTAACTCCTAGACAAATCAAACACCCAAGAAAAGAGAGCCAGTAACAAAAACCACAAACAGTTCCCAGTTTCCGCTATATTTCTTGTACACCTGCCATCTTCCAGCTCATCACAGAGGCTCTTCCTCTCACAAAATAGCCACTCTGCCAAATCCTGCAAGAAGGATTGACTTTATCCTATTTGTGACCTGCAAGTTTCATCGTTTTAATATCAGGTTGCCAAATGCTGTTCACGGGGGCATTAATCCCCCCAGCGCCCCCAAGCAAGAAGTTGAGTAAAGCAAAGCAGAACAGCTGGAGCTATGATTGCAACTGGGTGGAGAATGATTTTGCTGAAAAATGGGATTTTTTCCCCTGAAAAATCTCCCCTTCAACATTGGAAAAACTGACAATGCCTTTTTGTTTTCTTTAAATGAACAGCTGTGGCCTCTTTTCCTCTATGTTTAAATTATCAAAAAGCTATTGAAGTTTTCCATTTAAACAAGAATCCATAACCAAAGTGTTTATAACCACTAAAAAGGGAGCAATATGAAAAATAAGCCTGTTTAAAACATTCAAAAACATTTTTGATGAAAAATTGGTTTGTTTTTCAACCAGCCGCATTACACACATTTTCTTCTTGCTATTCAACTATGAATTTCAAGCCGAAAAGTTTTCAAGTCTTGCCAGTATTTTTTATATAGTTGAAAAACCTCCTTCAACCTCTCCCCAGCTCATTCCCTATCTACCCATACAGACCTCTAAAAACACTCACTCTAAAAATCCCACAGCAGCCCAAGCTGCTCTGCCTGCCCGTTATCACAATCCCACCCTCGTGCCAGCTCTGTTTCGGCACGCTCGCCCAGCAAAGCAAAAGAAAACCTTTTCCTCTGGCTTCGCGTGCGCCATCGAAAGGTCTGGACAGGGAAAGCTCCCGGCTGAAACAGGGAAGGAGGGGCTGCGGCAGCCCGATGCAGATCTGCAGTGGCTGCGGCTTGCTAAAGAGCAAAGCCCACGTACGCAGCCGCACGCTTTGCTGGAAACGGACCAGAGTTTATGGCTGGGGG